ATAGGTGTAGGTCTGATAATTAGAGGGTTTATTCTATTTTCATAATATTTTCATAGCTTTTTCCTATTTGTATACCCCGGGTCTTTTACATTTTATTAAAACTTTATCCTATATTGTAGACTCAGGTATAGCACATAGTGGATCTACTATCTAGGGGGATCTTGTATCCGGCCATTTATGGTATCATCATGAATGTGAAAACTCGAGATCCTGTAACTGTAGTTGTACCAAGATAAAAATTAGAAGGTTTTGGAGCATCTGTGTAATAAAAGAGTTATACAAAAACATGCAAGCCAGTTTAGTCAGTACAAACTTAAGATAAGTTCTTCGGAATTGCAGAAAGCCACAAGGCCAATATGGTGGTGGAGTGCTCATTTGGGAAGTTCTGAATAGAGAAGTAGCACAGATCTTTGATGATACTACATACAGATTAATACCTAAAGAACTGGATAAACTGATCAGAACTAAAGTGTTCGGCAAGGCACTCTACCAATTAGACTGTCAGAGGAGTAACTGGAGGAAAAGGACCTAATTATAAGGACTAAAAGCAGATTATAGCTTTTTCGGGCTATCTGAATTAGTAGTTTGAGACAGCTGAGAAACTAAAAAAAGTCTGTAGGTGTATTAGGGTTTGGATAAACTCTATAAAGGCAGTAGTAGGTAACTGTAGTGGCCTCGGCTCGCAAGTACTTGTCCTCGGCCTCGGCATAAGTTATCTAAGAAGACTAGATAATACGGAAATAGTGGGTACCAGACTGCTCTAGCAGATGATATACTCAAGAATGAATCAGTTAACCATGCCAGTAGTCTTATAGATATATTACATATTCTGGGTAAGGTTAGATGGATTGATATAGGAAATTTAGATCAGAGAGTTTAATTGAATAATTCAAGTAATAATAGGTTACAGGTATGGCATCTAGTGTAGCACCTAGTACATAAGTAAATTACTTAATTAGAGACCCAAAAAATGCAAATATAGCTAAAATGTATCTTTGTCAGAATATACTTGTCTGGAGCCCTTTAATAAGAACACCATATGATCCTAATATCTAATAAAAACAATAAGCCGAAGAGGCTAACCTTGACTATAAAAAAAAAAAAAAAAGTATAATATGGTCTAAACACTTTGAGAAAGGTTTACTTAATATAATATGGTCTAAACACTTTGAGAAAGGTTTACTTTAGCCTAAAATTGTAATGTACTTATATATAGAGTGTTATTTTATTAAAGTCAGAAATATTAGTAAAGCTTAAATTTAAAATAAATGTATAGTGTAAAATCTTCAGGTGGACTACTTAAATAGATAACCTAAAGTTGCATATATGACTAAATTGTATTCTTATTGTAATACTAAAATATAAATCTATATGATTAATGACAAACATTAATAAAGCTTGGCCCTAAACAGCATCTTAAAAAAATAATAATAATCATAATTTTTAAATTTATTTTTTATTTATTTATCTTTTTTAAGTTTTTATAACTAGCCTCTTCAGGTTTACAGTTTTTATTTAAGTATATAGATGAAGGGCTTACTTATGGAACCTCAATATATTATATTACAAATACAATACCAGCTTGTATCATTAGTATATCCCATTACAATTATTTGTTATAAGAAGTCTCAGATATTTTCCTGATACCTTATAAAACTAATTTATTCTCAAGGTGTTGTTAGCTAAAGCTTTCCATATCTACAATCTGGCTAATCTATACTTTGGTAACTTACGTTGAGTCTGAGAACAAATACTTACAAGCTGAAACCACTACTGGTACCTACTTTTGCCCTTGTAGAGTTCATTTAAACCCAGTATATACTTTACAGACTATCACTAGTACCTAAGTTTCATCAGTAATCTAAACTCCCAATCCAGATAGCCCAGACAGGCTATGACCTGCTTTTGGTCTCTATAGTTAGATCTTTGTCCTTTGGTTACTCATCTGGCAGCCTGGTTGATATAGTGTTTTGCCAAACACTAGTTCTTATCCAAATCACTAAAATTAATATCTGGATCTCTTAAATAACCTTTTATATAATATCATTAAAAATTTGTGCTATCTCTCTACTTGGAACTTGCCAAGTGGGCTTCTGTATATCTTATAGCTTCAATATCTGGTTTGACCTAGTTGCTTTATTTAAATTTTGTATAACTCATACATCACACTAATGTTCTACAGCCTCCCAATACAAGCTGATACGACCAAGTTTACTGATCCCAAGATCCATCGAATTACACACAGTTTGCCATAACACATTCTGTAAAATTTAAATTTCATTGCCAGTGAGATTCAAACTCTTGTTCTGCCATTTGGAGATGTGACAACTTACTAACTTCACTAAGTCACCACACTTATTTTTAAATTTTTTTATAATTTAGTTATTTTTTTTATTTATATATTTGTTTTTATTTATTTTTTTTTATTTTATCTAAATTTTATTTTTGATTTTTACTTTCTACAAAAAAATATTATTAGATTAACAATATTTTTTATTATCAGTTATTAAGTAGTGATTTTGACAAAGTTAGTAAAAACTATCTGTTGATAGTAAGTTGAGATTCCAAAAGAGTTGCTCCTGGGTCATACTTTAGTATAAATTTAAGGCTTATTTTATTTTTTACTATAATAATAAAACAAACTAAAAGAATTTTTATTTGTATAGAAATATAATGGTTAATAAGTTTGTATGTAGATTTAGCCAACTGAAAACATATTTGTAAATTGCTTTTGATTAGGTAGAATTGCTAAAGGTAAAGCAAAATATATTCATAATTACTATTTGAACATATAAATTTAAACAATAGTATCACTTTTGAAGATTAAAAAAAAAAAAATTTAAGCAATAGTATCATCTTTGAAGATTAAAAAAAAAAAAAATTTAAACAATAGTATCACCTTTGAAGATTAAAAAAAAAAAATTTAAACAATAGTATCACCTTTGGAGATTAAAAAAAAAAAAAATTTTAAACAATAGTATCATCTTTGAAGATTGATAGATACTTATAGATCATATGTGCTTGAGCAATCGTATTCATTACAGTTCCACTAAAACTCCGTGGATAATTTAACGTAGCTGATCGAACTTTTGCCTGAAGATCTAAATAGCTTTTAGCATAATTTTTTATATTATTGTAATATTTAGTAATATTAAAGTGAAGTAAAAAAACGGTAACACATCTATAATAATCAAGCTAAAGTTCACTTTTAAAGGTCAAATGTTGAATCAAATGCACATTGAGAGTATTGCACCCCTTGTGTAGTTATATCAGGTCACGAAATTATAACGACTTAAAAAAATTTAAATACGCTCAAAGTATCTTTGTATTTTGTTTTTCAACATTAAATCTTCATTACTCTTAGTTGAGAGTATTTCTAAACGGTTACCGTTAAAAATGAAATGCGAGTTACAGATATTTGCTCTTCGGTCATAAAATTTGCTAATATGATTGGTTAATGTTATTGTCAACTGACTATAGAAGTAAAAAATTTTGGGGGTATCTCACAAATCAGCCCATATCGATATGCAAAATTACGTACTTTTAAAATAATATACGCACGCAATTAAATAAATCTTATAATTTCTTATTACAATATAAAGTTAAAAATTAGAATTAGTAATTAGAATTTAAAAGTCGAGATTTAAATTAAAATTTTTTGAAATAAGTATTTTTGTTTAGAGTATCAAGTATTAATCATTTGAGATACGTATGGCAAATATGGTATCCAACTGGCGTGGTTTAATAAAGCCGTATTTTTGTTAAGTTTAAAGATTTGATTGACTGCGCAAACCATAATTTACTGTATTTACCGTTACCAATAATTTAATAATCGATATTTAATTTTGGTTCACATCAAGAATTAAAGTTTACATGAAAACGCATAACCAACTCCGAGCCTGTTAACCCTGTTTTAGATGCATGCACATATAATTGTATTTTTTTTTTCGAGGTAGTTCAGAAAAGACGCATTGTAAAGAGTCGGATTTTGTGCAAGCAATATTTCATATATCAGCGCAGTAGTATCAAAAAAAAACAAAGAATATGCTAGTCATTAATAATATAAATTGGCCAATAAAAGTTACAGGATCAACATGTTGCCCAAAATTTATAAATACATCGGAAGTTGAGCATGTTTTGCCGATTAAAAATTAGTTTGTTTTTTTTTGCGTGAAGTTCACCACTTCAATCCTCAACTTACGTCTTCTCCATTCAGTGCTTTTTGTGTCTATACTGACTGTCTAACAGTTTAGTTTTTACAAAAAGCGCAAAAAGGCCGGAAACAATTCCAAAAGGTAAAAAAGGCAAAATTGGATTCATATACGTTTTAAACTTGGAATAAAAAGATTTTAATAAAATAATAACTTCTAGAGAACGAACACTCCAAAAAGTTTTCGTATACTCAACACTTTACCTTATTTGTTTAACCCTTGAGGTCAAGGTAAAGTATATTGAACCGATTAGATGTGGTATTTAATTGCTAGATTGTTGTAGATCTTATAATTTGTCAATAGAAATTTAATTTAATAAAAAAATATTTTATAAGAAAAAAACTATTTTTCGATATTCAGTAATCATGAAAATTTATTACTCGTGTTTGTTTGTTTTGTTTGTAATTTGGAATAGATGTCAAATATTCCTTTCCCACGTCTTCAACCCGCAGTAGAACAGGGACCAAAACAGATTTTACCAGATTTGAATATAAGATTAATCTGCCCAGATTGCAAAAACCCTGTACCAAACATCATCGAGGAATTTGCAAGTGGTGACCTTGTTTGTGGTGATTGCGGCCTTGTTCTCGGGGACCGAATTATCGATACTAGGTCCGAGTGGAGAACTTTTGCTAACGATGAAGGAGACGATCCCTCACGTGTTGGTGCCGCTGCTGATCCACTTCTCGATGGTTCGCAATTAGACACAATAATCTCTAGAAGGGATGGCGGATCTGGAACCGCTAGAGATCTTAACAAAGTTCATGGCCGTGCAAATGCAGTTAAGGGTGAAAAAAATCTTGTCCAAGCCTACAAAGAGATCGCCGCAATGGCTGATGCAATAGGTTTAACCCGATTGATCGCTGACATTGCTAAACAATTGTATAAGAGAGTCGAAGAGGAGAAACTTCTACGTGGTAAAAGTACGGAATCGATTATTGCTGCTTGTATATTTATCGCGTGCAGACAAGAAAATGTACCACGCACTTTTAAGGAAATTTGTGCCATTACTCGAGTCCCTAAAAAAGAAATCGGACGTTGCTTCAAGACTCTGATCCGTACCTTTGAAACCAATGTAACTACAATGACATCGGAAGATTTGATGTCACGTTTCTGTTCGAGGTTGCATCTCCGTATGGAAATACAAAAAGCCGCTCTTGACCTTACAATAACAACGAAATCGCTTGGTACCTTGGAAGGAAAATCACCGGTATCTGTAGCTGCGGCTTGTATTTATATGGCATCTTGTCTGTATAATCAGCCTCAATCAACAAAAGATGTTTCTCAAGTAACGGGTGTTTCCGAAGTAACCATCAAGAATTCATATAAACTGCTTTATGTGGTTCGTGAAAAGTTACTTGGTGATAAAAAATATGGTGGTGGAATAGACAATTTGCCATCACCATGAATAGGGTTAGACCAAAACTTTTTGAATTATGACACTAATATTACTACATAGTTTGAGTTTGGAAATCAGGATTTCTACTTCATTTTGGATAATAGTTAAATCTAAATATGTCTATTCTCAGTCAATAGTGGAAAACTTGGAAAAAATAAAATTCGTTAGATTAGTGCTATAAATTAGTGAGACTTCGTTATTTTTATTTCAAACTCAGGAATTTTAAGAGGGATTTAGCGACTTTATAATTGATTTCATAGACAAAAAAAAAAAAAACTTTATAAATTTATAATGGACATTTTCTTTTTTTACCCTTATCCCTAAATGAAACAATTTCGTTTAGTCACTATGGTAGATTAGACGTTCGTATTCTATCACAAGATTATTTTTTGTATTTTCCCCTTAAAAAAAAAAAAAACAAAAAAAAAAACTCTAGCATTATCTTTTAAATATCCTAAGGTTAATGTTCTTATCATCACGGTAGTATAAATATCTGCAAAGAACTCGTGATCATAAATTTAGAGGTTCCCAAATAAAATACCAGTCATTGGCGTTCTAAACCTATGCTAATGGCTATTAATAGTTTTATGACTATTTCAAAACTTAAAAGTCTTTTTGTGTATGTGATTAATTATCATGATCGGGGTACTAGTTAGTCTCAAATTCATATATCGATATATGTTTGATATCACTATTTGAAAGCAGAACATGTGGTGTCATGTAATACAATCGACTCTAGATATATAAACAAATAATGTCGCGGATTATGTTAAAATTCGGATAATGCCGAAATTAATGCATCCGATTGGTTAGAATAGGGTGATTAGCTAATAGATTTTTGAATTTCCATAATTATCGTCCGAAGCATAGTGAGAACGTTTTTAATTCAACTTATACAGGTGGTAAGAACCTATAAAATTTTAATTTTAAAAATTTTAAATTTTTTATTGACAATAACAAAAATAAAGTTTTTAATTTTATAAATTTTAAATTGAATTTACTAAAGGGAATTACTATTCGCACCACGATTTTTGCTATTCGCACCATTGATTTGACTAGAATTAAACCCTAACTCTGGTCAAACTAATGGTGCGAATAGCAAAAATCGTGGTGCGAATAGCAGTACCTTTTACTAAAATACCAATATCTTACCAAATATAAATTGAAGATTTAAGGCCAGAAGTCTAAGACTACTTGAAGTTTTTTTATGCAAATTGTTATTAACAAAGTTTACAAACATAATATACCAATGCATGGATATTTTGAATAGTTTAGAAGGCTTTTATTGTGATTGGCCAATTTTTGTAGATTATTCTGTGATATATGAGTGACAATTTGAATTTTAAGGTGAGGTTATAATGAGTAACAATTTGTTTTTTTTTTTTTGGTGTTCAGGTGGGATCTTGCCTATAACTTTACTTATTGTTAATACTTTCATTATATGTATTACTACATTTTCATATTTATATATATTAAGTACACCAAACTCAGACCCAAATCCTATTGGTTATCTATGCTCTGACTGAAACCATCACTTGTGCAATAGGTGTTCCTATTCGCTATCTAGTCACTAATCTATTATCTGTGATCCAAACCTACCAAAGCAGTGGATAGCATTTACCTGGTATTTTTTTACCCTTTATTAGTTTTATTTTGGTACACTTTCTAATAATGTCATTCTTTGTATCTCTTATACCACTTATACCTAAGCTCTCAAATTTGGTAGTCTCTTCTGAGATATGGCTTTGTAGCTTCATAAGTTATTTTCAATCTTGGTTATCTTAAGCTAGTCTGTCAAATAGTATTACAAAGAGAAACTTATACTAGTCCAAGTTAAGCCTTGTCATTAACGCCTAGTTTAGTTAATATGCTGTCGATTTTCATTACCTTATGGGTAGATACTCTTGTGTGTTGGTGCAGGCTCGTTATGTTGCATTATAAATTACTTCATAACTTCCAGATTGCGAATTTTGTATTACTTCTCTTCTATAGTTTGAGCTATATATTCTAATACTCTAACATTTTAAGTTACAAAGCATTAAAGATTTAGATCTAATTGCGATTTGTGGTTTGTAATACTTTCAATTTCAATGATTGGTATTTCTTGTCAATTTCTAGTATACAAGTCTGATTTATACAATTGTATTACTAGCTCAGTGAATCTAGCTATTTTGAATCTTTATTATGTACTTCAAGTTTCAGCCTTTTTGCTCTGTCCTTATAGGTTTCTTCTTTAATAGGCCAAGTGGCTTGGAGTTAGAGATGCTTTTGGATGTATATAAAAAAGGATTAGAAGATAAATTATCAGTAGAAGAATGAACTGTTGATCTTGAAATACAGTAAAGAATCTAAATTTTATAATAAACTTGTTGATTAAAATGAAGTAAAAATTTTATAACAAGTATTGTAGCTATTTTTTGTAGTGTTTCTATCCATTATCCGTTTATCCATTTATCCATCGGATATCCAAATCCGGATATCCGTTTTACTATTAATATCCAGATAATGATCTGATTACCTGTCGGATTATCTGGATATCCGAGCGATTTGGATTATCCGGATAATCGGATACGGATAAACGGATG